CCTCGACGAATGCATGCTCAATCACTTCTTCCTTGGTACTTATTGAGCTCTGATGCGGTATTTCAGAGATTATCTTTTTACTTGCGCATTGCGTTTCTCTGCTAAGCGCTCTTATGGTAGGCTGTTCACCACGAAAACATTCCTCGAAAGGCGATCTAATTACAGCACCTCTATACCTCTCAGTCTCAATTGCTGATGAACTATTTTCGACATCATAACCCCGATAATGAATGCACCAGGGCATTCACATTCTAATTTGAAAAATTGTCCTTAAATCTGCATGCAGAAGTTTCTCCTCAGCCTTGCTTAAGTATCTTAAGGTATTTGTCGTATTCTTCCGCAGTGTTCCTATTTTTTTAGTAGAGGTTTTGTCTTCTAAAAGCTTAACGTTTACTTTCCATAGATCCCAACTGAAGCGATCCTTAACTGCCTTAGCATTATGCAGAGTAAAAGTTACCAGTGCATGGTCACTGAAAATGACTGGTAGAACCTTTTAATTTTCCGCACCACTCAACGGCTCTACTGCCACATAGCCTCTGTGAAGTTGAGCGTTGCTAGGCGAGCAGAAGTGCGTATAGTGCATCGTTTAAATTTTGTTTTTTGGTAAGTGGCAATATCCTGAAGGTAATGTTCATCGATCCTACCTTTTAACATCCGTGCACTAGCATCCCTTTGGATATTGTTATTTGACCTGTCACTTGGCTCAAAGACGCAGTTGAAGTCACCCAACAGTACTATTTTTCGAGAACAACGAAAAAATGGGGGAAAAATGTCGGCAAAACACTCTTTCCTCTCCTTTACCTGATTTTCACAATAAACAAAAACACAACTCATTTCAAACGTCAAAATATTAGATACGATAAGCCTACAAACATCATCAACAGCAGATAAACCATGGTAAGCCTCCTCTCGCTACAAAACAACGTAGTACAAACAAGAAGTTTTGCAATGACATATGTTAGCGTTTGAGGATGAACCAAATAACGATACGGTTGGATTAAACTGTTTCCTTAATTAAAACCTTGAGGGTTACACTAAATTGGGGGATTAAGTAAAGGTTGCGGAGCGGTGCTACTTCTTGCTCGGCGTCGTTCGATACAAAGTGTCCCTCCGTCCCTCTTGCCTATGGGCGAGGGCGATCGGCACCAAAACTTTTCCTTGCAGGCTCGCGCGCGCGGCTCGGGTTTCACGGCAGAGAGGCCCTGTCTTGGGGCTCGGGGATTCTCCGGGGACCCTAGAGAAACTTCTGTCTGGAGCAGCCGGAGTCGGGGGCCACCTACGAGCTTTTGACCGGTTTTCCTGATTTCAATCTCCTGATTGTTAAGACATGCTTGGACCGCTTCTGTCACCGCGCATGTGAATATGGCTGTGTAAGTCTCGTTCGGGGTTAAGTTTTTTTGTGTATATAGGGCCCAAAAAGTGTATTATTACTAGAACAAAGGAGCTTTGCTGGGTGCGATCTGCAGAAAGGGAGGCTGTGGGTGCTGGCACTGGTTTGAGCCGATATCTGAAGCACGTTGGGCAGTGGCGTATAGACGCTTTAAACACGCACCAGATTGAGCCGCCATTGCCGACCTTCTCTTGTCTTACCGAGCTGCCCAGCAACTGAAGTGGGCCTTGACGAGCCTTCACAAAGACCTCTGCTCGAGAGAATGACACAGTATCACCTAAAGGGGCAATAACCTGTCCTGCTGTGGCAATAATAAAATGAAGCGAACGGAATAAGACGAAACAAGAACTGAATGCCGGTTATCAAATCAAATCATTAATTTTCATCTGCAAGTACAACTGGTGCATGGCGGCGCCCATGCACAGCTGCCTGAAAGCGTATATATGTATCTTTGCGGTTGTCTTGTTCTAACGAGCAAAAATCTTTCACACTGCTGCGTTAGTGTATCGACAACTGCTTTATGTAGAACTTGATGCTGTGCGCTCGAGATGATTAGTCCCGTTAAGCGGTGGTATTTGATAAAATGAATGAATGCTTTACTTCTTCAGGTGAACTCAATTCTTAAAGTTTTCCGCCTCCTCGCAATAGTATACCTTGTCATCCAGGAAGGAGTAAACTTCAGCTATTTTAGTGTTTACTGACTCGATATTTCTTCTAGTTACGCGACCCCTTCAGAGAGCCCAGCGTTTTGAACATTGGTGAACGGGTTACTTCTTTGTGGAGAAATTTTTGGTAAACGAAATATTCAAACAGTAACTCGGAGTATCATTTGCAGACTTCTGTAGCCACCAATATGCAAGATCGGTTCTTAAGGGCTGGCTTGCAACGTGACGCAGTAGTAGGATATATGAAGCGTTCCTGTTCCTCCTAAACTTCCCCGAAGGAACGGCCCGGCCATTCAAAATTGAGTTTCCGCAGCCAATATAAGTGCTCTAACCAAGCCTGAGTGGTTTCAACATTTTGAAAAAGATTTTTCGGGTGAGTAAATAGGCCGGGTTCTTCTTTCCTATGACATCTTTGAAGTTGGAGCTTCATGTCAACCTTTGAATTTCTTCAACGCGATTTGCCACAGCTTAGCTCCAAGCGCAGCCAAAGGCTGTGGAATGTTCAGAATTTGGAAAAAACGCATTCGTACACATCATGAAGTAGTTCGCAAAAGTAGAATTTTAAAAACACTTTGTTTGTGTGCAAACATTGCACGATTTGTCAGTTGTGTCCAGCTCAGAACAAATTATTAACATAAATAAAATAAATGACGCTGCAGGTTGTTCATAGTATAGCAGAGAATATCCTTCGACGAAAAACCCGCTGCGAACAGTGACGTGAATACTACACGTTTTTTTCCCAGTTTTTTCGTGTCATTTCATGTTCTCAGCGGTCGAATCGTGGCTTCAATTTCGCGCTTTCCTCGTCAAGTTGCTGGATATATTTTGTTTCTCTCTATTCTAAATGCCGACCGACAACGCAAGTTAAGAATAAAGGCATGTTTAGGAAAAAGACAAGCGCCGAAAGACCAGGACAAGGTAAGAAGACGACAACACAAGGCGCACTCGCAACTGAAGATTTATTTATGGAAAAACATAGTATTATATACACTTTAAAAAAAAAAAAAAAAAAAAAAAACACCACGTCACTTTCCACGTGCCCACTCTTTATCCAAGAATAGACACTCTTTTTCTGACAGAGTCACTGAAGGCTCGCTTATGCACTTATCTGCACCCTTCCTTATTGCATACGCCTCATGAATTTCCCTTGTAATCTTTTTGCTGTATCGCCCCAGGATTGCCACGTCATTGAAAACTGGTGTGCACTCACATCGGTTGCAATGCACAGCCAGGTGCCCCGAAGGTGACTGTTTTAAGGAAGCAGCATGCTCTCTTGCGCGATCATTCACACAACGCCCAGTTTGGCCTACGTAAGACCTACCGCAAGAAAGCGGAATGTCATACACAACACCAGTGTGACATTCTACAAACTTATTCTGGTGTTCTTTCTTACACTCGTCACTCTTTCCTTCGGGATCATTGATTTTCCTGCATAACGCAGAAAGCATTTTAGGGGCTGAAAAAACGACAGGAACGTCGTAACGTTCCGCCACCTTTTTTAAGTTATGAGACACTGCGTGAATGTAAGGTATTACAGCGGTTCTTTCTTTTTGGCGTTCAAGAACGTTTCTTTCCGCACCCCTAAATTTCTTTTTGAGGCCCTCTGCAGCTTCAACAATGGACCTCAGCGGAAAACCCGCACTTGCGAGCCGATCTACCTGTAGAAGGAAACTCCTTCCCATTTCCTCAGGACAGGATTTGTTCAGAGCGGCTCCGAGGCACGAAGAAGCAATACCTCTTTTCACTAACTTGGAGTGGGAAGAATTAAAAGGGAGTACAGCTTTCTTGGAGCGAGGTTCGTAAGCCCAGCACACATGGTCATCTAAGAATTTTAGTTTTAAATCCAAAAATTGTAACGAGCCCTCCTTGGTCCTCTCATGAGTGAATTTTAACCCATGAGAGCAGGACGTGAACGTGCCGATTACGTCAGCCACCTTGTTATCAGTGAGTTTGTTCCCTGGGAGGGCTTGTTGAAGCTGCAGAGGGCCTCAAAAAGAAATTTAGGGGTGCGGAAAGAAACGTTCTTGAACGCCAAAAAGTAAGAACCGCTGTAATACCTTACATTCACGCAGTGTCTCATAACTTAAAAAAGGTGGCGGAACGTTACGACGTTCCTGTCGTTTTTTCAGCCCCTAAAAAGCTTTCTGCGTTATGCAGGAAAATCAATGATCCCGAAGGGAAGAGTGACGAGTGTAAGAAAAAACACCAGAATAAGTTTGTAGAATGTCACACTGGTGTTGTGTATGACATTCCGCTTTCTTGCGGTAGGTCTTACGTAGGCCAAACTGGGCGTTGTGTGAATGATCGCGCAAGAGAGCATGCTGCTTCCTTAAAACAGTCACCTTCGGGGCACCTGGCTGTGCATTGCAACCGATGTGAGTGCACACCAGTTTTCAATGACGTGGCAATCCTGGGGCGATACAGCAAAAAGATTACAAGGGAAATTCATGAGGCGTATGCAATAAGGAAGGGTGCAGATAAGTGCATAAGCGAGCCTTCAGTGACTCTGTCAGAAAAAGAGTGTCTATTCTTGGATAAAGAGTGGGCACGTGGAAAGTGACGTGGTGTTTTTTTTTTTTTTTAAAGTGTATATAATACTATGTTTTTCCATAAATAGATCATTTTATTATCAAAGTGATAGCGGCGCCTGCACTGGAAGAAGTGCCGGTTTGCAGATACCCGAAGGACCGGGCAAAAACTACTTCCACCGAAAGTCCTCACCGCTGCGGACCCCCGGAAGCAACCTTTGACTGGGTGAGCCAAATTTTCACCAGTTTTGACCAAAACCACTAGAACGCGGGGAAAAGTAGCTAGACCCAGCGAAGCCTACTTCACCGGCGCGCCGGCGGCGCTCTTCGCCGTCGAGTGGGCGTCCGGGGGTCCCTCCCCACCCCCCGGGCTACCCAAGCATGGAGCCGACTGGACAGCCGACTGATGGAAACACCATGCCCGAACTCGAGGATATGGACGAGGTGCAGGGCGAAGCCCATACCAATAATACCCCCGGTAATGACGAGCCGCAATCAGCGGAGGAGACAAACTTTCCGCCCTGGATCAAGATACTTAGCCGGAAACAACAAAGACTTCAAAACCAGGCCTACCGGAAGACTCTAGAAGAATCTAGACGGAACGACGAGCAACCACCCCCTGGCAAGATGCTAACGGGCGCGAAAACCCGCCAGACGTCGAAACCGCGGAAGCGACAGCTCCCACCGCTACCGATTGAGGATTACAAAGTGGTCGTCCGCCCCTTGGATGGTCTGAACCTCGGAGCTTGGGGCCCCGATCAAGTCTACCGAGCCATCAAGTTGGCGGCGAAGCTCTCTCCTCTCGAGACTGCGGAAATCAAGACGAGGCTCCGTAAGGACCAGAACTTGGCCGTTGTGAGCACTCCAAGTGTCGACACGTTGGAGCGGCTTTGCAATATCTCCTCCATCGCACTCGGAGAAAAGCAGTTCCGAGTAAAACCTTACGCCGCCATGCCGGACGACTCCTGTAAGGGGGTCATCTCGGGTCTCACATCTCGGCCCTCGTCCGAGTGGCTCACTGAAGAACTCAATGCACGGAACACCAACTACATAGTCCTGAACGCTCGAATGATGGGTAGTACGACCTCAGCCATCATCACTTTTCACGGACTCAGGGTTCCCCGCCTAGTGTATATCGATGGCGGCGAATTTGAGTGCAGGGTCTACAGACCCAAAAAACAAGTCTGCACTAAGTGCCTAGGACTAGGACACCGAGAGGACGTGTGCCCTCAGCCTGAAAAGCAACGATGCTCAAAGTGTGGAACTGAAGGCAGTGCCATGGACTCGCACGAATGCGAAGCGAAGTGCGTGAATTGTTGCGGGGCTCACCCGGCTACGGACCCTCGATGCCCCGCAAGGCAGCGAGCACCGTACAACAAGTCACGCGTTCAGAAGTACCTGCAGCAACAACAACATGGCCGCCATCAGCAGGGAAGTCAACGGCCCCAGCACGTGGCTTCACCGCTTCAACCCGGGCAAGCGACCCAGGCTGTACCCCCCGAGGAGCAGTGGCCACGACTACCAACGAGGGGATGGGCGAACCAAAACCCGTACGCTCTGCTGGCCTCCGAAGCACTCGACAGCAGCCCAACGTCGACGGGCCCTCAAGGTTCAGACACCCGCTCCGGATCCAAGCGGGCCCGGAGCAGATCCAAGGCGAGATCTCGCTCCCGCAGCCGAGCCCGATCCCGGTCGAGACGGAGGATGCAGCAACAACGGTCGGCGCAGGAAGCTGAAACCCGAAAATCAAGGAGCCCCGGTCCAGAGGCCCCGAAGGTGAGCTGGACAGGGCAGCAGCCTCCCACTCCCTCCCAATTCCCCGCATGCCCCCCTTCTCCCGCTCCTAGATCCAGCGTTAGGACACAACACCACACACACAAACAAAACACTCAGCACACGTTCATTGAAAGCAATCCTTGTGCCACCGACACTTCCTTCTTGGACACCTTGAGGCGTGAACTCAGGGCGGAAATGCAGAGCTATCGAGATGAGCTCCGCATGATTAGGGAGGAGATGCAGAGATCTAGGGAGGAACTTAAAAAATCTAGACTTGAGCCACTCGGTCTCAGCGAAGAACTTAAACGCGAAGTAGCCAAACAGATCGCCGAGGCCAGACTTGGTATTAGCAAGGAACTGGATCACATGACCACTACACTCAAAGGGGACATGCAGACTGGCATGGACAACGCCCGTAGACAAATCCTTAAGGAAAATAGAGCCCAACTCCCTGAGCTGGTTCGAGACATTCTCTCCGCGATGCCTCGACACAGGCTCGGGGTAAAGAGCCTCAAGGCAGCGGGACACCGCTCGTCCGGAACAGGGTCTCCCCCAGTTACGCACTTAAGCTTATCCCAGAACCATCCCCAGAACTTTACTCAGGAACAACACAATGGAACGGGACAGTAACAGGGTCAGAGCGGCGGACCACCCGATCCTCCGCAAACGCCCACCCAGTAACATACGCGTTTGGCAGTGGAACTGCAGGGGCTATCGGCGCAAGCGCGGGGCGCTCACGCAGTTCCTCGCCACACTCGACGAAAAACCCGAAGTTATCGCAATGCAGGAAACCGCGTGTACACCGGCACTCTCGGGATACGTGACTTGTGCTTCAAAACCGGAACACGAGGGCGTACCTCCGAGGGTAGCCACTCTCGTAGCCAAACATCTACCGTTCATTCCACATCAGTTAGAAAGGGTCACTGGCATACCATATGTCTTTCTCGAGTTGCTCCCGCAGAAAAGCGGACAGAGCAGTCTTTTCGTGCTTAATTTGTACAGTTCACCAAGGGCGAAAAAAGACACCTTTGACGCGATCTTTAGAGACGCTATCGCCTTAACCAAACCGAGCGAGAATACGCTTCTCATAGTAGGGGATCTGAACGCGGCCCACCCGGCATGGGGATATTATCAAGAGTCGGTGAAAGGACGAAAACTAGCCACGGCCATAGACAGAAATCAGCTTACGCTCCTCAACGAGCCGGATCAGCCCACGAGGGTAGGGAACAGCGCGAGCCGCGACACGTGCCCGGACCTCTCCCTCGCCAGAGCGAGAGGCCCGTGCACGTGGACCAACCTCCAGGAGAGTCTGGGCAGCGATCATTTTATCATTGAAATTCAAGTTCCAGTGCAGGCTCATCGTAGACACAAGAAGGCCCTGCGGTTGGTCAACTGGGACTCGTTCCGCCAGCTCAGGGCTCAGACAAACGCCGAAGAGATAGATGAAAACGTACCATTGGCACAATGGGTAAGAAAACTCCACGCCGACATTCAGAGAGTAACCAAGACAGTTCAGACGACGGACAAGGCGCCCGTCGTCGACCCGCATCTTCTTCATCTATGGGAAGCCCGGCGTGGCCTAACTAAAAGATGGAGAAGACAGAAATATAATCGGAAACTAAAAATTCGCATAGCCAAAATTACCCAAGAAGCCGAGCGTTATGCAGAGGAGCTCACCCAATCTAATTGGCATAAACTATGGGACAAACTACAAGGTACCCTAGGAACTAGGCAGACCTGGAGTCTGCTCAAGAGTCTGCTTGACCCCACAAAGACTAGGACCGAAACCAACAAGGCTATAATAAAACTTGTTCACCAAACGGCACACAACGGGGAGAACGCCTTGTGGGAGTTCCTAAAGGAACGTTACATCGCATCCGGCCCCAGACCAAACTACCGCCCATATCCCCACGAAGAAGCAGGCCATCCGCTGGATCAGGACATATCTGAATACGAAGTTAGGGGAATACTCACTGGCCTAACCCGCAATAGCGCTCCCGGAGAGGACGGAGTCACGTACAGGATTCTCAGGAATCTGGACGATGCCTCCGTTTCGGCCCTCACGTCATACTTTAACAGGGTATGGAGTACCGGTGTCCTCCCACCGGAATGGAAACACGCCGAGATCACCTTCATCCCAAAACCTGGGAAGGCTCTCACGCTAGAAAACCTTCGTCCCATTTCACTAACATCGTGTATAGGTAAGCTTCTGGAACACATAGTTCTCAGACGCCTTCAATCCCATCTCGAAGCTAACGGATTTCTTGGGGACACAATGTTCGGGTTTCGACAAAATCTGTCAGCACAGGACGTCCTCCTACAGCTCAAAGAGGACATCCTAGACTTTCCTGGAAGAACGCAGACGAGAGCGGTACTCGCGTTGGACCTTAGAGGAGCTTTTGACAACGTGTCTCACGACGCCATTCTCGAGGGCTTGACCAGAGCACACTGCGGCAAAAGAACTTACGACTATGTCCGTGCGTTTCTGACGGACAGGACCGCTACTCTAGGGCTGGGAGATCTTCGCTCCCAGCCCATCAAGCTCTCGGGGAGGGGAACGCCACAGGGTTCCGTCCTTTCGCCGACTCTCTTTAATATAGCCATTTCAAGTCTCCCGACCCTGCTGGGGGCCATCCCTAACGTCAGGCATGCTCTGTATGCAGACGACATCACCATCTGGACAAGCAAGGGTTCGGATGGTGAGATACAGGACGGACTTCAGGAGGCGGTCGAAATCACTCAAAAGGTTGCAGAAGCAGCAGGACTAACTTGCGCCGCCGACAAGTCTGAGCTTCTACTCATTAGAAGCAAACCTTGCACTAAAGCAGATGAAATTTGTTTAAATCTAAATGGAGAGAAGATACCCACAGTCGACAGACTCAGAGTACTCGGCCTACATATTCAGTCCAACGGCAAGGCATCCTTCACCGTGCAAATGCTTCGCAGGCAATGCCAGCAGATTGCCCACCTCATACGAAGGGTGGGCAATGGACGTGGCGGGCTTAAAGAAGCCGACACCGTGAGAATTGTCCAGGCTCTTCTAGTAAGTAGAGTTGTCTACCATTGTCCTTTCCATAACTTTAAACGCAGAGAGATAGACACTCTCAATACGATCCTCCGAACTGCTATAAAAACGGCGGTTGGATTGCCTCAGCATACATCCACGCAGCGCCTTCTTCGACTTGGTATTCACAATACTATAGAAGAACTGATTGAGGCTCAGGCTGTTGGACAGCGTACAAGACTCAGCTACACACAGCCTGGAAGAAATCTCTTAGCCAGGCTCGGCTACAAACCACTTAATAAAGAACAGGGCTGTATGCGGCTAAAATCTGTCCCACCGAGCATTGCGGCTAAAATACGAGTTTTGCCCCTACCAAAGAACATGCATCCCACTCTTAATGCAGGTAGACGCCTCGCTCGTACCCGCTACCTAAGGCTCAAGTATCAAAACGACCCAGACGTCTGTTACACTGACGCTGGGGAGTACACTTCCCCACGTGAGGCAAAATGCATAGTCGTCTGCGACTCGCTTGGACGAGGTGAAGCGATAGCGTCTCTCGCCGCTCCCACATCGATCGCGGAGGCCGAAGAAGCGGCAATAGCATTAGCCGTAGCACGGATTTCGCGTAAAACTGAAAACACAGACAAGACCTGTACCATAATCACTGATTCACAGCCAGCGTGCAGGGCGTTCGCGCGATGCGTCGTCTCACAACGAAGTGGACACATTCTAAACACAGTTAATCAAAGCTCACTACCCGCAATCCAGATAGTCTGGACTCCTGGACATACCTCCCTCTCTGGCAACGAGAGTGCGGATGCACTCGCCCGAGAAATAGCCGGCCGGGCGTTGCATGGGGAAGGGGAGGCACCGGAGAATCACAACATGACCACCTCGGACTTACGCACAGAGCCAACACCGCTACACACGTACAATCAAATCACGGCATTTTACAGATCACAGCGTAGAACACTACCCCCTCCGCACAGGGACCTATCTAGGCAGGAAGGGATTGAGTGGCGACAGATACAAACACACACTTTCCCAAATTTGTACCACAAGCATCTATTTTTCCTAACAGATACCGGGGCACCTGCCCCGGCTGCCAATCCCCCGAACCTTCCCTTTTCCACTCTACCTGGGCCTGCCCCTCTCCACCGGGGCAAGGCATCCTTCCCATCCCTGACCCATCCTTTACCTCCTGGGAGGCTGCGCTGTCTAGCGCAAAGCCCGAGGACCAGCGAATGCTGATCTCTCGGGCTAAGCGGATAGCAGAGGCCAACGGGGCCCTGGACTAGGGGCTCCCGACCAGAGAGAAAACACTCCTGCCTTTTCCCTGAATAAAGTTTTTCCTCCTCCTCCTCCTCCTCCATAAATAAATCTTCAGTTGCGAGTGCGCCTTGTGTTGTCGTCTTCTTACCTTGTCCTGGTCTTTCGGCGCTTGTCTTTTTCCAATATGAACCAACTGGCCCAACTCACCATTTTGTTGCATGTTTAGGAGTCAGGCGTGAGATGTGTACTCTACTTCGTCAGGAGTTTCAAACCGCGTCGTACCGCGAAGTTGTTTAACTAACATCGGAGCTCACAGACGTTTGGAAATGGGCACTGCCGACGGCGGGAAACGCTCTTCGATGAAAAGTAGGTCCATATTTCTTTCCAAATTATTTTAACAGTCACTCAACTTTTCTACACTTGTTGAAGATTGGAAAATAGGGAAGGTGGTTCCGCTTCATAAATCAGTAAAAAGCGCAGTCGTATTTGCTACCGAGCGATCTCATTAATTAGTACACCCTGCAAAATCATGGAGCATATCGTTTATTCGAACCTTGTTATTCTCTTAAACCCTAACTCATTTTTTACACCCTCTCAGCCTTGTTTTCGTAAATTTCTTTCCTGTGAGACCCAACTTCTTTCTTTCACTACTTATCTCCTTTGAATTATCGGTCAAAGATCCCAGGTTGATTGTCTTTTCTTTTATCTCTGCAAAGCATTCGATAAGGCTCCTCACAAGCTTTTAATTCTAATATTAAATAAACTTAACATCGAACCCAATGTTTTTTCATAGATTGAAAAGTTTATTACAAATCGGACTCAGTTTGTCTCTAATGATAATGCTAATTCTCACCTCAGTGCAGTAATATCCGGTATCTTTCAAGGGTTCGTTTTAAGACCTCTTTTGTTTCTTATTTATATCAATGCCTCAGAACCTTTCATCATCTACTAACCTCTTTGCTGATTACTGTGTAATCTATCGCGAAATTAGTAACGAATATGATACTCCTCTTCTTGAAACAGACTTTGATCCCAGTTTTGGAGTGGCGTAACACATGGTCCAGGACTAAGATAACCAGATGTAAGGCTAGGCGCGCAACTCGATGTAACACCTCAGCACTGACGTACTGCCACGGTAGCTCTCCATTACAGCTCGTAACTTCCTACAACATCTTGGTGTTCATATTACCCATAATATGTCATAATACCTTCACATTGATCACATGTCTGCTAACCCCAACTCAATGCTTAGTTACTTAAAACGATATTTTACTATGGACCCCGTGTCATTAAAATTAATTAAATTTAAAACTCTGGTAGGTTTTCAAAATCAAAAAATTGCTGCAACTATATAGGATCCTGGTCACTTAAGATTTGTATCTAACATTGAGGCCGTCCAAAATAGCGGCGCATAATTTATATGCTTTGTAATTATCACCGTACCGCAAGTGTCTCGTCTATAAAAACTAACTTGCGTCTGCCTCTCCTGCATTTGTGTCGCCAAGTTTCTCGTCTTTGCCTTTTTCACAAAATGTATTGCTCTCACCCTATTGTAAAAGAAAGGTTTCTTCTTCCTCCCCCATATACCTCAGCTCACCTTTACCATCACTCCAAGGTAAGATTTATTTAATGTCGTACAAACGCCTACTTTGAGTCCTTCATAATCAAAACGTCTTCCAAGTGGGGCCACCTTCCGGCATCGTTAGCGTCCATTTCATCCCCTGATTCATTCGAAACTCCGATGCCCCAACATTTTTGTTGATACTAACTTTGACTGTTCATCTTGTACATGGTATGTACTTGATTTGTTTTGACTTAATTTTGTATAGTATATTGCCCCTCCCCCCTGTAATGCCCTATTGACCCTGAGGGTACTGAAAGATATATAATAAAGAAACTTTGTGTGTCGAGGCAGCGGTCAGTGGCAAAACCAGGCTTTGTCGGTTTTGCGTCGAGCAAACGCGTACTCCAGTGCAGCCGGAGAAGCGCCGGTATGGTTTTGTTGCTGCTGTGCTGCTATGCGTTTATGGAGAGAACGCGTTGTTTTGTTTAAAGGGAAGATGGGGCACTTCTACATTTGAAAAAAAAAACGCTTGAATTGCGTTCATTTGGCCTTTAGAATAACAGATATCAAAATTATATTTCAATGCGACGCGCCGGAGAGCCACAAGAGCAATTTCAAAATACGACTGAAGCCCCGCCTCCCTAGCCTTGGGCAGCCAAAAGCGCCGTCGATGACGTCACGGACAGCGTCTGTCTTTCGCGTTTTTCTCGCGTTTAACAATACTTACGCAGAAAATGGATTGGGTATTCGGGTTCACGGGGTAAAAATATACTAGAATTCACTTCTAACTCATTTTTTCCAAGAAGCTCCGTAGCTTCCCTTTAAAAGAGGAGACAGTGCGACAGTTTAGCCACAGAGCTCGCTCAACCCGCTTTTTCCGTCGGCTCAGGACGGCGAGGCGGCAGAGAGAAAGACCCGTCTGGGCACCGAACGTTAGCACATTTCGTGTTCCTGCCCTGGCCTTCCTCTGCCTGCAGTGCGACGGCCACCCGCGAAGCTCAGCAGCCACCGCACTAAACCGGAGTTTTATTCCAGGACGCGAAATGGAATCTTTAATTATGTAGCAGACGATGCCGTCGATACTCTCGTAGCAGACCAATTTCTCTCGTCGACTTCTCTGCACCTCTGCGCGAATTCCGCGCGGAGTGATATACGGAGTGCAGGCCGATTCGCGTCCTATCGCCGGCGTTTGATTGGCCCCGGCCACCAGTAGGTGTGGCTAAGCAGAAACCGAGTATAGACAATTTGAGCTTTTGCAGAGTAATAACATATGCTACATTATCTTCAACTATGACTTCAGTGTCATCAAATCAACCTTTCATTTTGGCAACTGTATGTGAGTAACAGTAGACTGTTACTTGAATACCGGCGATAGCTTTAGCAGCCGCCGATGTCAGAAAAATTCTCAGGTGCTTTAACTTATTCATGTTTCTTAGTTGAACATTTTCGTGGAGTGCGTTGGTGAACATTCCCCAGAACAACTGTCACTATCTAATACGACCGTCGGACCTTTGCATCTCAAGAATGGGTAGCTTCGCGTATCTGCCATATATTTCGCAAAACGTAGTTGTTTTCTAATTCGAGACGTCGCTGGGGCAGCTGCTACGGTATGATGGAACTTCTGCTGATCGGTGTGGCGGTATATTGTCGAAAAATATAATTACTTGATCTTCGTAATTCAGTACGGTCTTGTACTCTTCTCTCAAATCTTGGTCTGCCTCATATTGCTCCAAATCTCGGTTCAGAACCATGAGTTCCTCACTGCTTGTACTGAGATGTCCGAGAAATGTTGTAATGTCAATGACTGAAGTAGCGAATTGGCCGAGTTGGTAAACGTTATACACGATAAAAATCGCTCAAACAACGAAGACTAGTTAAAGAAACATACACGCTAGGACGACGCTATACTCGCAACAGAAGTTCATTAGTGAAAAAGGCAACCATCTACTCATCAACAAGCACCATAGTGATATGCATAGCGTTGTCTGAAGTGTTTCAAAGCCGAAGCTATTGTGGTACTTCTTAATGAGTATGTGATTGTTAACGTTATCTGTCTTGGTTACAGTGTTTTCTTTATGTCTTTTTCACTGGTAAAAATTTATTTGCGAGTATAGTCCTGTCGTGTATTATTTTTTTCACTCCGTCTTTGTTGTTTGAGCTGTTTTCACCATGTAATCATGTATAAAGTCTTTGAGGTCGTAACTTTTGTTGGAAATGACAGCACTGACATGTTAATGAGCCGCGTCGTTTGAGCGCCACGAGCTGTTCATTTGGTTCTCACCCGCTTCATCTCAGTTCGTCCTACGGTTCTAGTAAAGGCCTCTAATGAGGAGGTGGTTCCCGGGTTTCGGCACCTGGACTGACTTTTGCTAAGTAACGTGACGACATACTTTTTTTTTTTACATATAACTGGGTTTAAAGGGGCACTGACACATCAAAATCATAGTTTTTTTATTATCCAAAACGATTGAAAACGATGCCGGGACATTACCCTCAAAATTCGAAACTTTAGAATTCAGTGTTTGTGAAGTAAAAAAAAGGATTTCCCAATGCCGAATTCGAAGTTCCCGCGCGATCCGCACCAGTGCAGTTACGTCACATTTTGCGGTCTCCTGAGTTTACTTTCTCTCGGTACTCCGCTCCACGCTACAAAGCAAAGCGCCATTGCCACCGCGACACGAAGCGCCGGCGGACCGGGAAAAAACCGGTTTCTTCCCCCGACTCACCGGTCATCCTCTGCTTGAGCGACGCCCAGTTGTCCGAGGGGGGATACAAATCCAGGAAGCGACATGACACCGGACTTGTTTTTGGTATGTCAAAAAGAGGGGCCGTAGCGCGTTCGCAATGGCATTAAAAAACATGTTTTACAATATCCGTTATTAAATGTTATAGAACTGTCGCCTACAAAGCTTCTAAATTTCCTGATTTTTCACTTCACCGATCAAACGAAGCGAGGAGGCGAAGAGCGGGAGAGGAAAACGCCAAAAATAAAAAAGCGCGCGCGCGCATAAAAATTTCTTTTTTTTTCGCTATGCGTTTTTTTTTTTTTTTTTTTTTTTTTTTGCGTGACTATGACTACAATTCTCATCGTTTTGTTTTATAGAATAAAAAAATACGACCTTTGGGGTTTCAGTGACCCTTTAATGTGACGAAACCCGTTTGAGAATCGCACTGTTTGCAGTTGTAAAAAGGGAAGTCGCGTACGTATCCTTGAACCGCGCTCTTGATCGTCCTCTTCTTTGCTCAAAGCCAATTTGAAATATTTTAACAGGCTTGTTTTTATAAAGATTGCTTTTCTTTTTCTTCTAGAGCCAACCTGCTTTGTCCTTGTGAGTGTGCAGTACGCACCAATCTCCACTTATGTTTGTGTGACATGCGCCTTGAGAGGACTATTTGCGCATTGCGGAGCAACACTGGAGGGTGGTAATAGTAGGAGCTTCCGGAGAATTATTTACTCCGTCTGACTAGAGTATATCCTAGGTGTCACTGCTCAGAAACGAAAGTGACATAAATGGCCATACTGAATTT